TCTCTCTCTGTCAAATAAATAAATAAAATCTTAAAAAAAAAAAAAAGAATATGAACTTTAGTGTCACAGGACCTGAGTTCAATGTAAAATGGAACAGTGACTTTAAAAACACTTTGGTAGTTTTCTGTAAAGTTAAACACAAACTTGCCATTAAATCCAGCAATTCTACTCCTAGGAATCTACCTAAAAGAATGAAGGCGTACATCTACACAAAGCTGTGCACATGAATGGTCATAGCAGAATTATTCATAACAGCTAGGAAATGGGAATAATCCAAGGGTCTATCAACTGGTCAATGGATACATGAAATGTGGTACACCCATACAGTAGAACAGTCTGAAAATGAATGAACTACTGTCACTTGCAACAACACAGATGTACCTCTGGATAAATTAAAGAAGCCAGATGAAAAGACCACATATTATAGGATTCCATCTATATAAAATGTCCAGAGAAAAGCAAATTCACAGAGACGTATAGATTAGTGGGTTGCCTGGAGCTACAGATGGGAATGCAGATTGAATTCAAATGAACACGAGGGATCTTTTGGAGGGCAAATGGAAATTTCTAAAACTGGATCGAAGTGACGGTTGCACATATTTTAAAGTTTACTAAAAACCAGTGGACTGTACATTAAAATGGATGAATTTTAATAAAATCACCATATGATCTGGGTTCAAGTGCTGGCCCTACCACTTAGTATCCATGTGACCTGGAAGAAGCTGTATAGCCATATAAGCTCTGTGAGCCTCCCTTTCTGTACAATGGGGACTCAACAGAGGAGTATTGAGAGATGAGGGAGATACTGCGTGTTGTGCTCTCAACACAGGCCCTGACAGATGTCTGTGCAGCTGTTATGAACTCTCTAGTACCTTCTGCTTTTAGGGAAATCACTTCCACTCAAGTCCATACCAAGTCCAAGTCCAATCTCCATTTCTGCTTAAGTTGCTGGTTCTCAGATACCCCTGGGAAAAGTTCGATCTCTGCCTTGTCCCAAATCCCTGGTATGAGAATTATTCAGAATATTTCTGGGCCAGAAATGAAAGTATGTCAACTTCACCTACTTCACAGCTCCAGAAATTGAACCTGTTCCAGAATGCTATACTGCCACCGAAGTCCCCCCTTACCAAATACACGCATCTCCTCTTCTCTTTTTACTTCACTTTTTTTTTCCCAATGGAAAAAAAAATCATCTGGGCTTAGCGGGTCTGGGCTGCCAGGAGCTGACAGATACTCTAAGCAAGTTGCAGGAAACATCCCAGCCTCTGCAATGAACCTTTGGGGAAGGAACAGCCACTGAGAATGTGATTCACTTTGATGACAGCTTCTGATGAGGGTTCGAACCGGCTAGAGGGTTGGTCAATTTATGACCGCACAGAAGACTCCATAAAAGTCATAAATAAAAGGGCACGTGGCTGTGAGTGCACCACACGAAGTCAGGAGGTCTCCCAGATGACAGAACACAAGGCCAGTAACTTGGATTCGGCTCAAGGTTTATCACCGACGCAGTGAAAGGTACAGCCCCCGGACGCCAGGGATGCTTGTTCCCAAGGACTAGGGGAGCCATTTCTCAGATGCCTCGGGCTGTGGATCTGTGGGCAGTGGGGGTGAGGAAAGGTTGCCTTCCCTAACAAATCCTGGGGCCGCCACGTTGACCTGGGATAAGGACTCTTGCGGGAATGAGACAGTAAGACCAGACTGTCTTACTGTCCACCACTCAAGCCACTCCTGAAACCAAGTGCTTTGTGTTCACATACAATGTGAAATAGCTTTCAGAACAGGCCACCTGTTGTACATCCACTCACTCATTTAAGGACCCTTACTCCTATTATTGCTGACAGCAACAACATTGGTTCTGAGCTGACTCCCCTCCTGAAGTAACACACACTTCAAGTCATTGCTATGATGGTGAGCGTTACATGAGATAGAATTAAAAAGAAAGAAAGAAACCTCGGCATGTGCCTGGCACGTGGTAATCCTCCATAAACCGCAGCTATGGGATTTCTCACTATCTAAACCCTTTTTTTATGGAAAGACTTAAAACTCACACAGCAGTGTTATGGAGCTCTTCTCTCATGTGGAGGATGCAGAATGTACTGGATATATATACTAGATATACACACACATGCTAGAAAGTATACATACCATATATCCTAGATGTTATACATTATGTAGTACATATTGCATATACTAAATAGTGTGCATATTCTACATAATGTGCTACATATAATACAGTATAGTTGAGAGTTTCTGATGTGTATCTGCTATGTGGATGTAGCTGCGCTCTCTCTCTCTCTCTCTATATATATATAGACAGACAGTACACAGTGAGGGGACAGACATGATACACTACAGGGTGGTCAGGAAAGTCCTCCCTGATAAAGTGACATTTGAGTAGAGTCCTGAGTGAAGTGAGGGAGTGGGCCATGTGGATATCTGGGAGAAGGGCATCCCAGGTCATGGGAACAGCAGGGGCAAAAGCCCTGTGGTGCATCAGGTACAACATACCCGAGAGTTGAACCGTCACCAACATGTGGGAGTGGACTGAGCCAAGTGGGTCAGGGCAGTAATACCAGACAAAACCAGATGTCAGGAGCCAGGGCCAAAAGGGCCTCCCAGGCCAAAGCAAGGGGTTCGGGTTTTATCCTAAACGTGATGGAAAAGCCCATCACATTTCAACTGAGAAGTAACGTGATCAGATTTACTCCCTTAAGAGATGGAGGCTACTGCGTGAAGGGTGGCTCATAAAGAGGCAAGGGAGGGAGGAGGGAAAACAGCTAAGGGGCTCCTGTAGTTGTCTCGGCAGGTGATGATGTGGCTGGGCCTGGGCAACAGTGGGGCAGATCTGGGCCCAGCTTTGGAGGTAGAACAGACAGAACCAACAGGGCAGCCAAAGGACTAGACAGCAGGGTGTGGGAGTGGGAGGAAAAAAGAGGGGCAATGTGACCCCCGGCTCTTTGACAAGTACCCGGGAGGAGGCTGGTGCCATTCCTTGAGCAGTAAAGACACAAGAGAAATATCTGGGGTAGAGGGAGTGGGGAACAAGGGGTAAAATGTAAACTATTATGAGCGAGTCTCGGTCACACTTCAAACCATGTCGGTCATTGAAAAAATATAAATAAATAAAAATAAAATAAACTATAGCAGTCATTTACATCTCTGTGGGACTAATAGCATCTCCTACTAATTAAGGCTTTTCAGTTCACAAGAAACTTTCACTTTTGCCATATTATACATGGTGTATTGCATAGTAAATAGCATATATCATGAATATGGTATACTATATAGATTAACGTTGCTTAAATACAGTATATATTACATAGTACACCGTATTATATAAAGTATATATATTATATAGTATATAATATTGTAATAGTGTGGCATCTGTATTATATAAACCCATATAATATATAGTATATTATATATTATACTAATAATACATTATGCTGAATATACCATATAGTATCTTATTATAGTATGTTAGATGGTGTATATATATCACATATATTATATACTACATTACATGTAGTATATATCACAAAATATAAACAATATATGGTATGTATGGGTTATTCATGTTATGTGGTATACAGGATAGAGCATGTATCATACATGTTGGTGCTTATATCCATAGTGTACATTATATACATTATGCAATGTATATACATATAATTTACTAGATGCTATATACCATGTAGTATATATTATATCTACTAAACAGTGTGTATATTCTATATAACATGCTACACATAATATCGTGTAGTTGAGAGTTTCTTATATATTTACGTATTATACAGTGCATATAAAATATACATATTACATAATATATTATACATATAGCACATTACACATAGGTTATTCTTTACTGTTTCCTTGGGCCTTAAAAGCCCCCAACCTTCCCCCTAGTTTCTCCACCCAGCCAAACTGGGACAAAACAGAGTCTTGGAGAGGGAAATGACTTTCCCAAAGTCCCGGAGGTGGCAGGACAAACAGATGGAGCCGGGTCCATAGAATTCCACTTTCCCCACACTGCTGTATAAGCTTCAGACCTTTCCACGAGACAAGTTTGGACAGTAAGAAGTTTTTGCTCTTATTTATAGAATGTAAACATGCTCCAGATACTATGATGAGAATTTCTAAACTGTATCTCATTTAACCATCCCCACTGAAACCACCTCAAGGTATGTATTTTGTCGTGGTTATCCTTCCGCAGATGAAAAAAAACTGAGGATCTGATAGATCAGGGCCCTTGCCCAAGGTCACAAGGTTGAGGAGGAATGACCCCCGAGTGTTTCACTCACCACATGGGGGTAACTGGGTAGAAAAGTCCAGATGCCAGTTACATGGGTTCAGCTGCAAGAATCCAGGTGTAGCTTTCTGCCAGGCCTGTGGAAAGAAATGTACAATTTTCATGTGACATTTCCCTTCTGAATTATCTCATCTGTCGTGAGAGAAAGACCTCCAGTTTGGGCTTCAGTGCATCGATTATGTTGTACAGTTAAACCCTCGTCCTGGGTGGGGGGAGGGGATGAGAATCACTAAAACTGAGCCTGACAAAGAAATGACTAGCACTCGGGGCGCCTGGGTGGCTCAGTTGGTTAAGCGACTGCCTTCGGCTCAGGTCATGATCCTGGAGTCCCTGGATCGAGTCCCACATCGGGCTCTCTGCTCGGCGGGGAGTCTGCT